AAAAGTAAAAAAAAAAAAAAAAAAAAAAAAAATAGCTAGGCATGGTGGCACGCACCTGTAGTCCTAGTTACTTGGTAGGCTGAGGTAGGAGGATCACTTGAGTCCAGAAGTCTAGGCTGAAGTGAGCCATGATTGCACCACTGCACTCCAGCCTGGGCAACAGAGCAAGACTCTGTCTCAAAAATAAATAAATAAAATAAAATAAATAGTAATATATTAGCAGCTTTGAAAAGGATAATCTCAAATTTTGCTGCTCAGACTACTGAGATTATTATTAGAAAATAGAAGAAACTAAGAGGTTTTTTTTTTTTTTTTTTTTTTGAGATGGAGTTTCGCTCTTGTTGCCCAGGCTGGAGTGCAATGGCGCAATCTCGGCTCACCGCAACCTCCGTCTTCTGGTTCAAGCTATTTTTAGTAGAGACAGGGTTTCTCCATGTTTGTCAGGCTGGTCTCAGACTCCACCTCAGGTGATCCTCCTGCCTCAGCCTCCCAAAGTGCTGGCATTATAGGCTTGAGCCACTGCACCCGGCGAAACTAAGAGTTAAGTGACTCTTATTCAGCAGCTTTCATAATATTAAGTGTTGTAAAAGTCCAGATATAATAAAATACAACTCACGTATTATGAAAGCAGAGACCTTAATTATATAAGTGCTTCCAAAAGAGCTTAATTTACATTATAGCTATTCAAACTGTATTACATGAATTCTAAAGAAAATCTACAGATTAAATATTGTCATTATAAATGATGTGCTTGAACTTCTTCTGAATAATTAGCTTGGGACTTTGTTCTGTGGAGAACATGGGGTTTGGCATTCTGAAGTCCTTGGTACTTACTTTTTATTTCTATTTTCTATTTAAAATAGATGTTTGTATCAGAAAGCAAAGAGACAGCATCTGGAGATGTGGACAGCTTCTACAACTTCGCTGATATACAGATGGGAATATGAAGTGCAATGTGGAACCAGGACTTGGTATTAAGCCTTTCCCAACTTGTGAATATAGAATTTGATAATATACTTTTGTGTATTAGCAATGGTTTTTGCTAATGCTAAAACTGTTGAAGTTTATTTTTGAATCAATTGTTGAATATTACATCATTTACTTGAGGTTCAAAAATAATTCATTTTAAATTAAGTAGTTTTAATCAGCTTAAAAGCTATTTAACCCACTTTAATAAGCGTGCAATTTTGTTTCTCTGCATATGATATTCTTATTAGAAAATAGAAGTTGCTAACAGTTTATTATTTTAATCCTACTTAAATGTTCTTTCAAATCTCTAATAATTTAAACTTTCCTCAGTGCTCCATGATATTTTTTTTGAGACTACATTTCATTGCTTATTTTACATTTTTCAATTTAGAGGGATTTGTTACTAGTTGATCAATTATAATGAACCTATGCACATTTTTTATGTACACATATGACAGTTATATAAATGCTTCCTCGCTGCATTATATGGCAAATGAGATTTTGTACATGGAGTTGACATAATACTTTGTAAATTGAATTTTTTAAAGAAATAGGCATTTGATAACCAGCTTGGCAAGCAACTCTACTAACAGATGTTGGTATAGCTATTTAAAGACTACTTCGTAAGCAGTATGATTATTTGAATAAATTCCACATTGTTTAGTTTTTTTAATACAACTGCTATATGACTCTTCTGCTTCCTCGTAAGAAAAGGTGTATGCAGTACTAAAATTATAGAAGCCCAATCACCAGCAGTTTTCAAAAAGGTGATAACTTATTAGCTCTTGTGGGCTATCAAGAGAACTAGAACAAAACCTTGTGACTTTTAGGTAAGAAATAGGCATGATGATAAGCTATGCAGATTATTAAAAAGCTTGATACAGGCTAGGCATGGTGGCTCACACCTGTAATCCTAGCACTGTGGGAGGTTTAGGTGGGTAGATTGCGTGAGCTCAGGAGTTAGAGAGCAGCCTGGGCAACATGGTGAAACCCCGTCTCTACTAAAATACAAAAAAAAAAAAAAAAAATTAGCTGGATGTGGTGACATACACCTGTAATCCCAGTTACTTGGGAGGCTGAGGCAAGAGAATTGCTTAAACCCGAGAGGCCAGGAAGCAGAGGTTGCAGTGAGCTGAGATCGTGCCATTGCACTCCAGCCTAGGTGACATAGCGAGACTCCATCTCAAAAAAAAAAAAAAAAAAGAAAAAAACCCAAAAGCTTGATACATTTGATTTTTCATTAGATATGCCATTCATATAAAGTAATGTTCAAGTATAAACTTATTCTGGTTACTTTAAAGCATTATTTCCCAAATCTACCTGATCGTAATAATTTACCAGGAAGCAGAGGAGAGCTGCTTGTTTAAAAATTCACATTCTTGGACCCAATCCTCAGCAGCACGGATTCAGTCTTCAGGGGAAACTCTGTTTTAAGTGGTATGTTGTAATCTAAAGTAATTGGTTCAAGAGGTGTTGATAAGTTGATCTTATAAGAAGGCACTGAATCTGCCATCCATATCACATATAGCAGCTATTAGGAAATCAGCTTTCATAGGCCTATTTTTTTAATCGCATTTTAGGTTTTGGGGTACATGTGAAGAACATGCAAGATTGTTGCATAGGTACACACATGGCAGTGTGATTTGCTGCCTTCCTCCCCATCACCTATATCTGGTATTTCTCCTCATGCTATCTCTCCCCAACTCCCTACCCCCCGCTGTCCCTCCCCTATTTCCCCGCAACTGACCCCAGTGTGTGATGCTCCCCTCCCTGTATCCGTGTGTTCTCACTGTTCAACACCCACCTATGAGTGAGAACATGCGGTGTTTGATTTTCTGTTCTTGTGTCAGTTTGCCGAGAATGATGGTTTCCAGGTTCATCCATGTCCCTGCAAAGGGCACAAACTCATCGTTTTTTATGGCTGCATAGTATTCCGTGGTGTATATGTGCCACATTTTCCCTAATCAATCTATCATCGATGGGCATTTGGGTTAGTTCCATGTCTTTGCTATTGTAAACAGTGCTGCAATGAACACTCATGTGCACGTGTCCTTATAGTAGAACAATTTATAATCCTTTGGATATATACCCAGTAATGGGATTGCTGGGTCAAATGG